CAGACAAAGCCGAGCCGAGGCCGAGACGTCACAATGGAAGCTCCGCACAATGGAACATTAGAAAGCAGGAAGCGGGGCCGGCGCGCGCGGGGACGGGCAACGGGGAGAGCGGTACCGGACACACCGGGCAGCGGGTACCGGACACACCGGGCAACCTGCACCGGGCACCGAGTACTGGGCAACCCGCACCGGGAACCGGATACCGGACACACCGGGCAACTTGCACCGGGCAACTTGTACCGGGCAACTGCACCGGACACGCCGGGCACCGGGCAGCTCGTACCGGGCAGTGGGCACCGGGCAACCTGCACCGGGCACCGGGTACTGGACAACGGGCAACTTGCACTGGGTACCGGGCAATCTGCACCGGGCAACCTGCACAGGGCACCAGGCACCGGCCGCGGGTCTCCCCCTGCACCCTCACATCCCACCGGGCGTGCGGTGCCGTGTCCCGGGAGGGCGCGGGGTGCTGTGAGCCCCGGGGATGCTCAGGGCGAGGCTCTGACCTGGAGACTTCATAGCCCCCGCCTCGTCCTCCTCCGCTCCATGGGGAGCAGCAGCGAGGGGATGAACCGGCCACAAACCGCGTCCCGCAGCCCCGCGGGTGTGAGGGGGGAAACGCGGTGGGGTCGGAGCCGCAGCAGCCTGAAAACAGGCAGTGGTGACAGAGGAGGTGGCTTTGGGTGACAGAGGAGGCGGCTTTGCCCCCTCCCCGTGCCCCGGGTCCCGCGGGGATCAGTGCTTTGAATACTTTAGAACAGGTAACACTTGTTGGTCGCCTGTGATTTTAACCTCACCTCCCCCCTTTAAAAGTTTGGCACTTCCAAGGCGTCAGTAATTAGGTGGTTTCGTGCTAACTGTGCCAACTGATGCTATCTTTAAAACCCTCCGAGTTATATAGCAAATGTATGGAAAAATGCTGTGTTGCAATAGCTCCACTTACCCAATTCCTGCAGGGCCGGCTTTGCAATGGGAGCGGGATCCGCGCTACGGGAGAGCTGCGGCTGGAGGCACCGGGCACCGGCTGCGGGGTGTGGAGGGGGGCACGGGGAGGAGGAGGCCACCGGTGCCAGCAGCCTCCCGGTTTGGGGTTGGGGAGTGGCTGGGGGGTGATGTGGGGCTCGGAGGGGTGTGTGTGGGGAGGTGTACGGGGAGTGGGGGGCTGCAGTTCCCATTGTGGCCTGTTTTGAGCTTGGGGAGGGGGTGCGTGTGCTCTACTTCAACCCCCCCCATTCTCTCCAAAGGCCCCCATCAACCGCAGCCCCCCCATCCACTGCAGAGGTGCTCATCCATCGCAGGACACCGCTTTCATTAGAAGCACTCCCATTCTGTGCAGACCCCCCCATCCTGTGCACCCCCATCCTTCTCAGAGCACCCCCATCTTTCACACCCCCCCCCTCATCTTTCTCAGAGCCCCCCCCCTCCATCCTTTGCACCTTCATCACCCCCACCCTTTGCAGGGCACCCCCTCATTTCCCCCCTCTCTACTCGCACCCGTTGCATCCCTCCAGACGCATTTCCCCCCCCCTCAAACGCAGCCCACACCCCCCGCCCGTGCCCCGGCGAGGCCCGGGGGGAGCGCAACGGCGGCGGCGGAGACCGAGGTGGGGGAAAGCGGGGCGGCGGCGGGCGGGCGGCCGAGGGGAAGCACCAAACAAGGCCTGGATCCGGTCCCGCCCCCGTTGCCTTCTTTGGCGCCCGGTTCCGGCGCCCCCGGCGCTGGGGAGGTGCGGGGCGGGCGCTCAACGGGGCGCGGAGCGGGGGGACCCGCAGCCCGTACCCCCCCCCCCCCCCGGCAGCACCGCCCCGGCATTGGGGGTCCCCGCCGAGCCCCCCCCTTCCGCCGTCCCCCGCCGCTTTCCCCGTCAGCGCATTCCCACGGTCGCATCCGCGGTGCCGGGGAAGCTGCGGGTCCCCCGGCCCCAAACCAGCCCGAGCCCCCCCGCAGGCCGCGGCCGGCACCACCACCGGGGCTCCCCACCGGTCCCTCCTGTCGCTATGGGGGGGGGGGGGTGAGGGTTTGCTTGGTCTTGCTGCCACCCCAGCATCCCCATGCGTGCTAGCCCCACGTCCGGCTCATTCCCAGCCCGGTGGGTACCGGCCCCCCATGCCATGGGCAGAGGGGGACCCTTACCCCATCCCCACGTGGCATCACCCCCTGCCACCTCGGGCTGCGGGTGCAGTGATAATACCCCAACCCCAACCTGGTTCAAAGATCCTTAATCATAAAGATCTGGTTTACACAAGGAGCTGGGTTAGGAGGGAGCTTAAACCCAGCCTGTGAGAACCCAATCCCGCACGGCCACCGTCTCAGTTACTAACAGTGGTGTGATGCCAATTGATGGGGAACGGCCTTAAGCCAAAATAAACCGAAGGCAGCCTTAGACTGGCATGAAAACGGCCGCGTGGGGGTTGGACTGGCTTAGTTACAGCTCAGCTTAATGGGTTGGAGTGTTAAGAGCAGAGTAGTTTACCCAAAGGGAGCAAGGAAAAAAACCACCACCCCCAAAACATCACCTGGGATGCTCTGAATGGGTTTGAATTACAGCTCGGTGTGGATGGAGTCTGCAGCTGAGAGCTTTCACTTGTGCTGACCACGCCACAAGCTTGTCTCAAACCCCATCCTGACCCGGGTTCAGGAAGGTGAATGGTCACTGCTGGCATCAGTGGTTTCACAGCCTGGAGCCTCATCCATGGAATGCCGCGGTGCCCTCCTCAAGGCAGAGCATCACAAACCCCCATTGCCCCTGCAGTGCAAAACCTCATTGTGTTAATAAGGCACAGCTGGCCCAGCCTCCAGCTCAGCCCCCGATTCAGCTGCCTCCTTCACCCCAGGGATAATGGGGGGGATAATGGGGAGCCCTCAGAGCAGCTCCAGTGCCTCAAGGGGCTCCAGGAAACCTGGAGAGGGGCTTGGGACAAGGGCCTGTAGGGACAGGCCAAGGGGAATGGCTTTAACCTGCCAGAGGGGAGACTGAGATGAGCTCTGAAGCAGAAGCTCTTCCCTTGTGAGGGTGCTGAGGCGCTGGCACAGGGTGCCCAGAGAAGCTGTGGCTGCCCCATCCCTGGCAGTGCTCAAGGCCAGGTTGGACACAGGGGCTTGGAGCAAGCTGCTCCAGTGGAAGGGGTCCCTGCCATTGGAACTGGATGAGCTTTAAGCTCCCTCCAATGCAAGCCATCCCATGAATCTGTGATTCTATATTGTTTAATAGTACCCCAGCTGAACCAAGTCCCCATAATCCCCACTGATAAAGTGCTGGCAGCATCCCCTCATCCAGGGAGCGCCCACAGCCACCCATACATCCCTGAGCACCCCCAGCTCCCACTGCCCCCGACCCCGCTCCTCCCTATGGGGCCATGCGATCCCCGTGTGCTGCGAGTCCCTCTGGGTGCTGTCAGCTGATGGGTGATGTTCCCTTGCTCTTCTTGTCTTGTGACCGGGTCCTGCTGCTCATCACTGAGTGATTCATGTGCTGAGAGCCCCGCAGGTGCACCAGGCTGTGCCGTGGCTCTCCAGGGACCCGTGGGGCTTTTAGAAGGGGAACGGGTCAGGATTGTACCTAATTACTGGCAGCAGAAATGCACTTATGGGGAGGAGAGCGTGAGCTGGGACCTGGTGCCTTGTGCTGAGGCAAGCGGGATGGCATCACCATCCTGCCATGTGATTCCATGTTTCAGGAGCTCCGGGAGGCTCTGCGCTGTGCATGGCTGTGGGTTTCAGGCGTTTGGAACCCACCGTGGTGCTGCCTCTGGTCCTGGATTCCAAAGGATGCTCAGATACAAAGCTTGAGGCGCTTCTTTGCACTGCCAGAACACGGAGGTGTCGTCCCGTCCCCCCCGCCCCTTTGATGTGCTTTAGATGTAGATCTGGGGCTGGGAAGGTCACAGAGCTGTAAACAGAGCGTGGCTGCGGGGACCTGAAAGGTCACCCACCTCCCACCCCAGGCATGACTGCACCCGGGCTGCGCCTGGAGGCGGCTGCTTGGATGGTCGACAACAAAACTGCTTCTAGAGCAGCCTGGGGAAGGGGAACAATAAACCCGGAGTCTTTCAGCCCTCCAGAGCACGAGGTGGGTGCCTCAGTGGTACCCGATGGAGCCACCGGCGTCCCTCAGTGTTGTGTTTGCAGGTGGTGAGGCTGCACGGGCGGGATGCAGACATTTGCGGTGGCAAACAGCAGCTGCCCAGATGTGGCCGGTGCTGCATCAGCAGCGATTCATCCGCTGAGCATCCCGTGGATGTGGGAGATGCTCAGCACCGCAGGGATGGATTCAGGGCAATTCCTGGAGGAGGAGGAGGAGGAGAGACTTTCTCCACTGCTGTTGGGTGTGGGAATTCCTCATTTCAGGCCATGCTTTGGCTGGGAGAGCTCCGGCCAAGGAGAAACTGCTGGGCAGCCTTCCTGATCCCGGCCCAGCGCCCGCCCGGCTCTGCGGCCTTCCTGGTTTCCCTGTGAAAACTACCCCCTCACTGAAACATGCATGGACAAGGAGATGGATGCATCCCTCCTCCCTCCAGTGTCGGGGGCTGAACTTGGTGGTCGCTGTTGGCTTTGCTGGGTCAGTCTCAAAGTGTAGATGCCCATAAACCAAGGCCTGCGGTGGCTGGAAGGGGGGAGCTGGGCAGGGGGTGCTGCAGGAGCCATAGGTGGTTGTGGGAAGCCCTTTCCTGCCTCAGTTTCCTCTGTGGCATGAGAGAGAGATGAGCCCTGCCTCATCCTGCCTGCGAAGCACCCACAGCAGCGCTGGGTGCAGAGGGTCCTGTGGGGGGGCTCTGCTGCACCCCATTCCCTGAATCACCTCCTGCTGCCATCGCCTTCCCTGCGTCACCACCCGTGATGCTGCAGGGAGGATGCACTGGCTGTGCTCAGCCATCCCAAGGAGCATCCCACGGTTTTCCAGTGCTCCGAGGCCTGGGCTCCATGGGTGACTCCAGCAAGGGGCGCGATGCTGCGTGCACCGGGGAACCTCTGGGTCATCTGAGTCCGAGACAGGTCTTGGTCTGCAAACCCAAAGGTCTTTCCTGTTATTATGCAGCCTGCAGGAGGGGAACAATAGCGGTGGCGGCGGGTGCAGTGTGACCCAGAGATAAGGAGACAGTGTGATTAGCAGGAAAACCAACGAGTAGGTCCAGAGCTAAAAGTGATCCCCAGGGAGCAGCACCACTGGGAACGATGGGGTTCCCAGTAGCAGAGACCAGGGACAGAGCTGATGCTATGGGACCAGCACAAACCTCAGTGCTGCATCCTTGTGTCAGCCTGCAGTGACTGGGCATCGCTGTGACCCCAGCGAGGGGCTTGCAGGGCGATACCACAAAGGCTTTTTTTAACCTGAAACCAAGAAACAGAAGAGGAAATGGATGCTGAGAACTGTGCCATGACACCACCGGCGACGTGAGCGGCTGCCCCATGGCACAACCAAACCCATTGCGTCCAAGAGTCGTGCTGGAGAAAGGGCATCCATGGAGGGATGTGCTCCCGACGGCTGCGCAGCCTGGGAAAGCGCTGCTCCCCAGAGCTGCAGGGCTTCGCTGTAACCACCGAAGGAGAAACTGGTGAGAGGCCAAGGGAGAAGGATCTGCAGAGCCATTGAAACCAGCCCGGGGGGAATTAGCCATTTCCTTGCAATGAGGAAATGGGAGGTTAGCCCAGGACCTGCGGGGATGCGGGGAGGGGATGGGAAGCGCTGACAAGTGAGGACAAGCTGGGGGCTGTGGCTGAGACCGTCCTCAGCCCGTGGTGCGGGCAGGGGAGGCTGGAAGAGGCACCCAGCCCCTTCCACCGCACCTCTGGATACAAACCCCAAGCGGCATCCGCCTTCCACCGGGATAGAAGGGGATAAACCGGGATAAACCGGGCACCGCGGCACGGCCCGGGCCCGGCGGCTGGTGCCGGGCAGGAGCGAAGCCGGTGGCTCAGGACCGTAGCACCAAAGCCTCCTTTGTGTTCTACAGGCAAACCACATCTGAGCGTGCTCCTGCTCCCGGCAGAGCGGGCGAGGCCGGGACAAACCCAGCCCAAACCGAGCCCGAGAGAGGAAACCAAACCCCAGCAGTTTCTCCCCGTGGAGCATCCCTTGAGCGCCGTGTCCCAGGATCCAGCAGCTGGGATTTGCATCCCGGGTGCTGCAGGAAGAGCCGGTCCCAGGAGCAGGATGAGGGACCGGGACCCCAGAACCAGCACACTCTGATGGGGGAGGGAGTGGGGCTGGGCTCCTCAGGCAGCCCCACAAAGCTCCTCTGAGTTGTGCAGCACCTCGGAGGCCTCATAAGAATTAATTACTATTGCTGCTTAATGAAGCCATCGTGCTGAGCCCAACCTGCCCCTTGCTGCTGGCCGGGCCCCTTGGGTGCTGGCACAGTGCTCAGAGGTGGGGACATGGCCCTGTCCTCGCCTCGCCCGCCCTCCCTATTACTTCAGGAGCCCTAAATTCCTGCCACAGCCCTGGCTGCCTCTCCCAGGGCCCGCCCGGCTGCTGGGTCACTGCACCAGCACCCATGGGCCCCCACCACCAACCCCGGCCCCATGGCACATGGGGTACCCCTGGGCTGGAGGCTTCGTGTGCCCATGGAGCAAGGTAGAGGGCTGGGAGCATTGGAACATCCCACCAGTGATGTCCATCACCTGGATCGTGCCCGACCTCGAGAGCCTGGCCCCTTCCCAGTGCCGTGGGGATGCGGATGCTCCTCAGCTCACCTGGAAAACCTCCTTCGTTGGCACCCAAAATGGGCAGCGTTGTTTATCCCAGCGTGGAGCCACCGCGTCCCCACCGGCACATGGGGATTAACAATCTTGACCTATTTCCCGGGGGGTGCAGCAAGGCTTAATTCAGTGCCTGCTTGAGGAGCACATAGATCTGCAGATAGAGCCATTATGGAGTGTGAGATATCATTAATTAATGCACAGGTTGATATAGTTATGCGCTTAGATCATCATCAGCTGATCCTGCTAATCCCTTCTTGTGCAAGTCCCTGGGCGAGGGGGAGCTGCTGCTTGGCATCACTTGGCTCCCGGTGAGCTGGGCTGTCCCCACATTGTCCCCATGTGCCACCATGGCCGGGGGGTGCAAGCGGTGGCCCCCAGTCCCTGTTCCTTCATGTCCCCTGCTCCCAACCCTGTGTTGGCCCATGGTGGTCCCACAGGAGGGGAGACAACTCCTGCTCTCCATCAATGGATGGGATCCGGGGCTGCCTCTCCTTGAGCCAGGGGCTGAGGCTCAATCTCATTCAAGTAATTACTTCAATAATTATTAAAAATAGATAATTATTACCCTTTTTATTCAGTGATCGTGCTTAGTGCAGGCTTCTCTTGGCCTCCAGCCCAGTTTGGGAAAGAAACACCCCCCATGTGCTGCTGGGAGTTGCCGCTGCTCACCAGGAACATTGGATTCTCACTGTTAGTATTTTAAACCCCAAGCCTTCCTCCTCCTCAGCCATCCCATCCAGTGGGTGGCTTTGTTCTGGGAATGGGCTGGAAGCATCCAAACCCCATGCTGGGCTGTGGCATCTCAGTTCCCCTGGGATCCAGAAGGTTGGTTTGCGTGTGCCAGTGATGCTGTGGGTACCAGTGATATTGTGGGTACCAGTGATGCTGTGGGTACCAGTGGTGCTGTGGGTACCAGTGGTGCTGTGGGTACCACGTTGCACCCATCACACCTGAGCTCACCCTGCTTTGTTTTCTCCTTGCCCCTTCCTGGACCTTCGGATGAAAAGGTGACCCAGCCACGCCAGTGGAAATTGGAGCTAACAAATACAACTAAAACTTCCTCTGGCTGCTAAAAATGACACCCGGAGACAGAGCAAAAACCTCCTCTGGGTGACAATAACAGAGCGTGGAGCTATTTCAGTGCTGGCTGTTCCATTGCAGCACTCGGCACTGGGCTTGTGGCTGCTGCAAACCAGCCACTTCCCCAGGGACGTGACGTGTTTCCTTTCCATCACAAACTGATTTAGAAGCAAAACTTTCTACATTTAGGCAGTGAGAGACTCAGCTTCTCTTTTCTCTCTCGCACCGATGGTGAGCGAATGGAAGGAGAGATAAAGGGGGTGGGACCGGCACAAAGCGTACGTGGCTTCCTCCCGCTTTTGCTTTCTTCGGTCTTTCTAAATTAGCAAAAAGTGAACTAAAACCCCACCATTAATATTTTCCATGCTGTGGAAGCCTTGCACGCATCCAAGTGGGAGTGCGGAGCTCCAGGCTGGCTGCTGCTGCTGCTGCGCTGTGTGGTTGCAGCCCTGAGTGTGCCTGGGCCTTGTGCCTCGTCCTGCATCCCGGCAGGGGATCATTGGGCTTGTCCCAACACAGCATCTGCTGCAAGCACTGGGCAGATTCCTGCTCTGGACCGTTCCCATCCCTGTCCCCAGCTCCATCTTCAGCCCTGTTCCTGTCCCCATCTCCAGCTTGATCCCCATCTCATACCTATCCCCGTACTCATCCCCTTTCCCATCACTCTCCCCATCTTCATCCTCATCCCAATCCTCATCTTCAACCTCATCCCCACCCTTGTTTCCTACTTCCATCCCCATCCTTCTCCCCATCCTCATCTTCATTCTCATCCCCATTCCCAACCCACCCCCATCCCCATCCTCATCTCCATCCCCATTCCCATCCTCATCTCCATCCCCATTCTCATCTCCATCCCCATTCCCATCCTCATCTCCATCTCCATTCCAATCCCTGTTCTCCGTGCCCATCCCTGTCTCCATCCCCATTCCCATCAGTGCCACACAGGGAAGAGGCTCACTTTGGGCTCGCAGTGAGGCCCAACCTCTCCCTCCTGCAGCTCAAATGCAGCCCGGGAATGATGGTGCTAATTTCCTAGAAGGATAAACATCCGATTGCCTTTTCTCTCCCCTTCCACCAAAAATAAACAGAGCAGCCGCAGGGCTGAGGGCAGGGAGGGAAGGATGACTATAGTTGGACTGCAGGATGTCAACAAAGCCTGACCTCTCATTTGCACCGGTCCCTCGCATTACCCTAACGGCCCAATTACACCCTCAATGGCGGGTTAAGTATAGCAAAGGAGAAGGAGCAATCCAGCTTTAGCATCTTCCATGACATCTCTGGGTGTCATTTCCTCTGCTGCTAATCTTAGCGCCATGGCAAGCCGGGGCTGTGTTGTTTCCCTGGGCTGTGGGATGGCACCAGCTTCCTTTTTCTGCTGGGCTCCTGCAGCGCCCTAGACCCGGCGACTCCTGCATCCTCCTTCACACCTTGCAGCCCATCCCCATCGCCCTGAGCCTTCCCTGTGAGGCCGATGGAGCTCTGCAGGAGCCGCTGATGTGCGTGGTTCGGTAAACAGCCATTTCCTGCTGCAGGGAAAGTCCCGGACACGTTTAACCCCTACCCAGCAAGGCGGTGAAGCCGCTCTCACTGCCCAGGAACCAGAGCGGGAGCGAGAAGGGGGCAGCACAAACCTGCTTTTCCTCTTGCACTGGGACGGACCCATGGACCAATGCAGCAGCAGGAGCATCGCCATCCCCTCTGAGCGATGCTGCATGGCCACGAGCAAGTCATTCCCTCGTGCCTCAGTTTCCCCTGCCTGCACAGTAACCCCCGGCCCGGATCTTGCTCCCTGTCCTTGGTTCCCAGTGCTCCTGGCTCTGGACAAAAGCAGCCGCCGAGGCCACGCTGCGGGGAGGATCCGCGGGCAGGTGAACCCGAGCCCCGGAGAAAGCCCAGCGCCAGATGAAAGCCTCATTAAGGGTAATTAAAGGGGAGGCCCAGCCAAGTGGCCACTGGGCAGAGCCCTTCCCCTTTACGGCTTCAGTTCCGGTTCTGCTTTCCAAGAGGAGCGGGTTCAGCAGCCGGAGAGGGCACGGGCAGGGCAGGGCTGGAGCCAGCCCCGGTTCCCACGCTGCCACCCTGCGTGACCACCGCGCCCTGCCCCGCATCCCCTGCAGGGTAAAGGCATTGCCCTTGTCCTGCCCCTGCATCCCCTCGCCAGCTTGCCTGCAGCCCCTTCAGGCACTGGGGCTGCTCTAAGGCCTCCCCTTCAGGAGCCTTCTCTTCCCCAGCTCTCCCAGCCTGGCCCAGCATCACCCCGTGCTCACTGCCCACAAGGGTGCCCACACGGCCCCGTGCACTCCATCCACTCGTGGTTTATTCTGGAAGCTGCAGGCATTAAGGTGTAAGACCCCCAAGGTGCAGGAGGGACATGCTGGGGGTCAGGCCAGAAATGAGGCAAGGGAGGAGAAGAGGATGTAGCCTTCCCGGGACACCCAGGGAGCCAGGACGCCGATGGGATGTTACCTTTGGAGGGGATGAGGGTGCTCTGCCAGGTTTGGGAAGTGGAAGGGCTGGGTTTCTGCTCTCAATCTGGGCTGGGAGAAGGGCTGGCACATCCTCGCTGGGTCCCAGATGTGGCTCTGGGATGCAGGGAAGGGGATGCAGCTGCACAGGGGAAGGGCACATGGGGCAGAGCTAATCCTGGTGGTATTTGGTGAGGAACTGTGTGGAGGCCACCGGTGAGCCGAGCCGGAACTGCTTCACGAAGCTCTCCATCACCCAGGAACCTGAGGAGAGAGGGGCAGGAGTGAGCAGGGATGGAGGCGGCCAGAGCAGGGATGCTGTGGGGCTGGATGAACTCAGGGGCAAGAGGGGAGGAAGGGCAGGAGCCATGGGCACCCCTGAGGGTAAATGGTGTTGGCTCCTCTTGTGTCCCCACTTTGGAGCAGCCTTTCCCATGGCTTCCCACAAGCCCAGCTTAGGATGCTTGGAAATACATGGGGGAGATGGCAGGAGCTCCCCAGCCCCTTCACTCGCACGCACTGAGCCAAGAGGCTCAGCAATTCCTGACCCCCTTCCTCTGCTGCCTGCCCTGACCCGGGGATGCCGGAGGCCCCGGGGACACTCCTGACCGGAGGCAGGGATCCCTCTCTGGGGCTGTGGGCAGGAGGGATTCCCTTGTGCAATCCCCCTGCGCCCTGCAGGGCTCAGAGCCAGCATGGGGCCGATGGAGCATCCTCCTCCTGGCCCAGAGGGGCTTTCCCTGGGGACCCAAGCGGCTCCCGCTGCCACTCGTGGTGGTGGGAGCCTGGATGGGAGCCGCTGCGGTGGCGCAGGGCAGGGGCAAGGGGCCCGGTGTTTGTGTGAAACCCTCCTCCCTCCTCTCCTCTTCCTGGCACCTCTTTAATGTCACGCTGCAGACTGGCAGCCCTTATCTGCGCCCACATCTCAGCCCCAGCTGGAGCAAAGCATCCCCTTTGCTCTTGCAAAGTGCTGAGCAAAACCCGAGCTGCTGCCTCACCCCACGGGGCGATGGGGGTTTGGGTGCCAGCAGAGCCCAGCTCTCCCCGTGTCCCCCCGCAGCCTCCAGCACTGGGGCTCTTCACAGCCAAAAAGCCCCTGATGGGCTCTGCAGATGCTCCTGGTGCTGGCACTGCGCTGTGCAACCTCCTCAGCTGGAAGAGGATGTGGCCCAGGAGATGCTCCAGTGCTTGGGATGGAGATCCCAAGATGCTCAGGCGGGACCCTGCATCCTGCTGGGAGGAGATGCTGAGATGCATCAGTTGTGTGTGGCTGGCGGGGTTCCGGATGTCCCCACATCATCACTGACACCCATTGAGGACCCAAACCAAGCTGAGAGCAAGGGCAGTCCCAATGTGCCACCCTGGGGTCACCAGCCAGGGCATGGAGCCGCATTTCCATCAGCTCTGGCTCACTGCTGCATCCCAAGCCCAAGGTGGGGGAGATGCCCCCCCACAGGACCCCGAGGGGGCTTTGGGTTTGCAGCGCCACTGCCAAGCCAGGCCATGGACACGGTGATGGGCACTGTGTCCCAGTGTGAGCCACAAACACATCCCTCCCACCATGACAGCCCCGGCAGGGAGGGAGCCGCTCGCTTCAGGGTCTCCATCCATCCCCCATCCCCTCCATCTCGGGGGATGCTGATGAGCGCAGCGCCAGGGGAAGGGGTCCCGGGGGCGGGGGGGATGCTCCCACTGCACCCCCAGCCTTTCATCCGCTGGGTTTCAAAGCACTGGGAGAGCCGCAGAGGGAGCAGCCGGTGCCGGTGGGACTGGGGTGAGAGCGAGACGCGGCTCCCCCCGGCTCCCCGGGGCTGTCCCCGGTGTTGGTGAGGCCTCGGGGGGGCTGTGGATGAAAGGGGGAGGCAGAGCTGCCGCAGGGCTGCGTGCGGGGCCGGGGTTTTTCCTGACCTACTTTGGTACCTGCCAGCGCTCCGGGGGTGCAGGGCCTGGCCCCAGGGGAAGCCCCGGGTGATGCAGCCCTGGGGGACCCCACGCCAAATCCAGTGCCTTGGGTGCATCCTCAAACCGGGTGTCCC